GTTTTCGTTATATATTTTTAAAGAATCAATTCATCACATCGTAACATATTTCGATTGATTGATCAAGTTGATAATGAAAAAATTTAAAAATACAATTATACATTTAATTAAATCAATTATATTCAATAGATCAATAAATTGTAATAATTGAGAAGGTGAAGTTAAAAAATGTTATTATCATAAATCAATCTTTATAGATGTTAACTTTTAAGAGTTATAAAATAGACATTTAAACTTTGAATTTTGTTATAAAATAGACATTTAAACTTTGAATTTTGTTATAAAATAGACATCGCACCGTTAATTGACATTAGTTGATGTTAAAGAATGATATGACACGTTAGAATTATATGATAATATCTTATTTAACCCTTCAACGGAATTTTATTTTGACACCTTTTTCGATGTTTATAAATTATAATTTTAAAAAACTTCACAAATATTAAAAAAATAAAAAATCACAACTTATTTTCAAAACTATAAAAAATGTATTTAAAATTTATAGTTCTGAGAAAATATTTTAAAAATTCTAAATTTTATTTAATGTAATTCTTTTATAATTTAGTAGTTGATTTTCTTTTTTCTTTCTTTTTATTTGTTTTAAGTTTATTTTTATCAAATTCGAATATCATCCTCTTCGGTCACTTTAGATTACATGTGTAACTCCAATTCATCATTTTAATAATATATTTTAATCTCTTTAATTTTAAAAAATAAATCAGTACATACAAATCAATCTTTTAGAGATCAAGATTTTTATAATGAATCAATAAATAGAATTTATCATTTTACCCATCTTGTTTTATTTAAGATTATCATATTAAACTATTAAAAGATTTGCATCCAAAATATTAAAAGGTTCATATCAATAAGTAATTTCTAAAATTTTAATTTAAAAAACTTAAAATATATTTAAAAAATAATTTTTTTAAAATTGTAAAGACTTCCCCAAGCTTTAAAAATCCTAAATCTAGCCCCTATACCCATGTTTGACGTCGTTGTTATCGTCAATTGGACTTCCATCTGGCTGCGCCTCCACCAAAGACATGTTCCCCAACTAACAATCACCATAACAGTAACGAAATCATGACAAATCTATCCCGATGAACGTGACGAAACAACAACCATCGTGAAGACCACGACGAATCCATGATAAGGACGACGTTATTCGACTACGGAGATGGCAAGAGAGGTGTCGGAGGTAGTGAATGTGGCCAAAAATGGAGGTAGAGATAGGGTTAGAGTTATAATTTGGGGATTTTGTTTTTTTGGGTAATTTTAGAAAAATAAGGGTTTTCTATAAATATAATATTTTAAAAAAATTATTTTAAAATTATCAGAGTGTGACACGTGTCTATTAACAAAAATTTTTAACGACTGTTAAGTCACAGACACTTAAACTAGTAAAGTTTGTAACGTTAGACACATGAATCATTCAAAAAAGTGTTTAGGCCCCTATTCGTGAAAAGTGATATAGTTGGAGCACTTAATTTACAATTAATCCGTTTGAAAAAAAAAATTAAAAGTTTAGATACTAAAATAGACCAAAACTGATAGTTTATGTATAAAACATGTAGTTTACCTAAAATATTATTTAAAAATAAGGTAAAAACACAAATGGTCCCCCAACTACATGATATTACTTTATTAGATGCCTTAACTATTAAAAATTACATAACGACCCTTTGTGTAACATCCCAAACTACGGGTTAATGACTAAATTGTACACTTTCAGAATTTGGTAATCAAAGTAGAATAGTTGAATAGTTTAATGATTTATTTGGGAATATTTCCGGAAAGTTGTTAGTAATTATCCAATGAATTTAAGGGAAAAAATGGTCAATTGACAAGGAAAGATATTTTTCTCTCCTTTAATAGGAGATAAAAACGTGGGGAGATGAAAACATTTCATCTTCTACTTCTTCTTCCTTTCTTCTTCTCCAACTGTGAAAGCTAGGCAAAGGTAAGAGTTTCTTTGTTTCTTGATTATTTGTTGAATTAAAGGTTAGATTTTGATCATTAGATGATAACTAAGCTTAGGGAAAGCTTAAGTTATCTTAAAATCAAAAGATAAAGGAGTTGTGACAAATTAAAGAAAATGGGTTTTGGAGTGAAATTTTGAATAGGAAGGTTTAAATGAATTTGGAGGATGAATTTGACTTGTCATCTATGAGAATAAGAAGTTAGAAGTGTTAGAATTAAGTTTGGATAACATGAAAAAATTGGTATGATTATTGATTTTTATATGTAGAATAGAATTTTGAGGTTTAAGATGAAATAAATGGATATAAATTAGTTTAAGTATGTATATTTGAGTTAAAAATATGAAAGGGAATGAAACTTGAAGAATTGAAATTGAAGTGAATTTCGTGCAATGAACAGTGATTTCTGGGCTTGAACGAAAATTTCATATTGTGCAGAGGGAACAGATACCCCCCTGGGGGTATTGATTCCCCCTAATGGAAAAATTAGAATTTTAGTTCATTAAATTAGCGTAAGTTATTAACATCAAGTTTAAGGTTTAGGCTTTTGATAATTATTCTAAAAATTATATTTATGTAGATATTGAGCCTAAACAAGTTCCATAACAATCAAAGAATTAGGATCGAATCAAAGCAAGACTAAGGTGAGTTAATACTAGTTGTAAATGATGTTTATGGAAATAAGACTCGCGATGAGTCTAATTCCAATATTGGATTGAATAAATATTTGAATGTTAAGTATGTGTTTGATATGATTATTATGTAAGCATGAATACATGAATAGATTCATAGATGTTATATGGTGTGATAAGCTATGGGAAAATGAACTAATGGAAAATATGAAATTAGTGTATAAGAAATATGATATAGTGATCGTGTAAAAATAGGATAAAAACTATATGTCATTAATGCATAGAATATATGAAATTATAATACAAGCTATGTGGTATTGACATAAGTAATTATAGGATTGTGTAAGATAGGACACGTGAATTCAATAAAAGTGATTATGTAAAACTGTGAGATAAGTATAGGGCATTGATATACGGACTAGATGAAAATATATACATGAATACAGGTACAAGTTATATGTTATTTTATGTGATATGTGAAGTATATATGAACAAGATATGATATACATGTTTACATGAATCCATGAGAAATGATATATGTTACATGATATAAACCTATGTGATACATGTTATATGAAATGATACAGATGTTTACACATACAAGTGATATGTGACAGAAGAAAGGTATATGTGTTCACAAGAGAAATGACATGAGTACATGAACATATGAAACATAAGAATAATGCTCATGGTATATAATACGAGAGCTATAGGTATAGTTGGCATGCCAAGAGCCGAGGGTTATAGTGGTCCTTCGGGACAATACAGTGGTCCTTCGAGACAAATTTCATATGCCACTTAGTGGGACTTATACGAGCTGTGGTGACAGCATTAATGCACAACCTTAATGTACTAACATACCTCCAGTTTTCAACAGTGTACATGGGCCTATAAAAGATATCAAAAGTATTTGCATTATTATATGATATCGTGTTATTATCGTTTACATTGAATTCTTTGTGTACATGAGCTAATAAAGAGATAATAATCACTACAATATATGTTATGTACATGCTTTTGGTGATATGAAATGTTTCACATGAATTATATGATGATATATGGTACACAGAAAAGATAAGTACAAGATCATGATAATGAGGTTGTTGTGGATAATGATGGTATAGATGCATGTATGCATTTTGTTATATGGAATGTTTATGGTTTTATTATATGTTTTATATGTCTCACTAAGTAAACGACTTAGCGTGTGCTTGTTTCACGCGTAGGTTCTGAGAAGAGGAAGAATGATAAAAGTTAAGCAAGACAGGTCAGTTTTTCCTTTCCAAAGATCAGATCAGAAAAGAAGTTAATAGTATGTATTTTATAATACTCATAATGGTTGGAATGTAAACAAAGATTTGAATCTGATATGTTTTAATCGGCTTTGTAAATTCATATGATTGAGTTTTGTAATGTTTTAAATGTTTATATGTAAATGGTAATTTTATACTGATGAAAACTTAGATTTTTATGAATTTATACGTATTTTACGAAAGTATTGTAGCAGTACTGTAGCAGAGAATCGGTTCCCTGTAGCAGGGGAATCGGTTCCCCTCAAGCAATCTGAAAAATTTTTAACATTCGAAACTATTCACTACTGTTCATATGATACTGTGCACTGTTCATACAGTATTTTACTATTCATAAAACATATATTTTCTTAAATTGGTTATAACAAACATGATTCAACATTATATTATTATATTTTCTAAAAAGTGTTCAAATGTTTTGATATTTTGTAAGAATATTGTTTTTAAAAGTTAATGTAATATCTCGGACTCGTATTCGGGTCGGATACGGGTTGGGGTGTTACACTTTGACTATAGAATGTTGTTTTGTTGAGTCCCTCGACTATTAGAAGTTACAAAATAGTCATCCGACTATTCATTATATTCCAAACTCGTTATTTTAAGTTAAAAATAGACGATATTCTGAGTTGAACGTTAACTTGTTGACTATGATATGATAAAATTTGACCATAAAATCTCAAACGACTATCATATCACACTCATCATGTTAACATCCAACTTAAACAACCGCTAATTTTTAATGAAAAAAAACTAGTTTGAAACATAATGAATAGTCGGGTGATCATTTTATAACTTTTAATAGTTGAGGGACTCAAAAAGTAACACTCTATAGTTAAAGGATCATTTTATAACTTTTAATAGTCAAATAAATTTATAAAGCAATATCATATAATCGAGAGATTATTTATGTTATTTACCCTTAAAAATATATTTATTAAACTATTTAAGAACTTTTTTTTTTTTTTGAGAAATATTTAAGAACTTTACCCTAATCGAAAACAAGCCATATTTGTGTCATTTCCATACACGCAAACCAAACCCAAGAAGCGGGAAAAAAGGAAAACAGGAAAATAAAAGAATAAAAGAAGCTGAAAAATAAATCAAAAAACAGAAGTGGGAAAAAAAAGTCGCATTAAGGAGGCGAGGAGCAGCTAGCAAGAGCAAAAATGGCGCCAGTATTGCAGAGCTCCCAACCTTGGGTTGAAAAATAGTACTATATCTCATTCTCTCTTTCTTTTTCTCTTTAACTTTTATTTTTGTTATGATTTGGTAGAGACTTTTGTTTCGTCTCAGTCGGCCAAAGCAAGTGAAAGATGTGGCGCATCAAGACGAGGTTGTTCGAGTTCTCACCAACACCCTCGAGACCGCCAATGTAATTTTATCACCCCCAGTTGAATTTCTCTACTTTTGCTTTAAATTATGCATAAAACCCTAATTCAATACTATTTTTTATGTAGTGCCCGCATATGCTCTTTTACGGTCCTCCTGGAACTGGAAAAACAACTACCGCTCTCGCCATCGCCCATCAGCTATTTGGGTACTCTTTGTTTTTTAATTTTGACATGTTGCTGTGAAAGTGAAACTTTGATCTAAATCCTTCATTTTGGATTGGTCATTTATTTACTTTTTGTGTGGAATTTGTGAGATGGCCACATTTTCAATTTGATTTGAAGTGTATCGAATTGAAGGTTAATTCTTTGGTGAACTTTTAGGCTTCCGTAATTACTGTAATGCTTCCCTGGAGTTCAGAGTTATGTTGATTTTATCTGTTGTGCGGTTTTTTACCATTTAATACTTAGTTGTTGCTGATTGTAGAGTTTAAAATGTTCCTTTTATTTCATTTCATTTTACAACTTTACACTTATATGGGTTTTTTTTTTTTACTTCAGTTTATCTTAATTCAACTGAAACCGAAATTTTGCAGACCTGAACTCTACAAATCTAGGGTGCTGGAGCTAAATGCAAGTGACGACCGTGGGATCAATGTTGTTCGCACAAAGATCAAAGATTTTGCTGCTGTTGCTGTAGGGTCTGGCCAGCGTGCTGGGTATGCTCTCATATTTTCTGATAAATAAGATTTAAAATTCGGTTTACTGTTGTTTATTGATCAAGTTTAAGTGTACCATTTTTCTCTTTTTTCCTTTGTATTTCCCTAGGGGTTATCCTTGCCCACCGTTCAAGATAATTATTCTTGATGAAGCAGATTCAATGACTGAAGATGCTCAGGCATGTTTCATTTCCTTTTTCTTTTTGGGTAGCCATTGTCGCACCTTAAAATTCATGTAGACACATAAACTTGACTGCAGAATGCTTTGAGACGTACCATGGAAACTTACTCAAAAGTTACACGATTCTTTTTCATATGCAACTACATAAGCAGGTATGTTTCTTCTATTTCTCTTTTCTCAAGTTTCTTTTACTCTTTTGACCACAAGTTAAGTGTAGTAAACTTTTTGCACTATAAGGTTGCAATTGACTTGTAAATCACGATGGAAATTTGAGAATTGAAGGGTAACTCTTAGGCATTATGTTATTGAGTTTCATAGGATCATAGAGCCACTTGCTTCAAGATGTGCCAAGTTCAGATTCAAGCCACTTTCAGAAGAAATAATGAGCAGTCGTATATTGCACATTTGTGATCAAGAAGGCCTAAATTTAGATTCAGAGGTGTGAACCTGGTGTCTTAATATTGTTTTACGAGTGGTTTTTTTTATTAAATGGCCTCTTTCCTAAACATTTTATGTTTCACTGTAGGCACTTTCAACATTAAGTTCCATTTCACAAGGTGATCTTCGTCGGGCTATTACATACTTGCAGGTAAGTAATGGAATGCAATGCATTCCCAATATTTGTGAAATTGATGCTATGGATTATCCATGCACTTCTACTATAGTTTTAGTTTTTGACAATTTGATTGCATACTTGTTGCAACTTGACCCAATTGTGTTTTCTGCTTACTGCCAAGTTTGTTTCACTTTGTAAATATCACTTTCCACATGAAGGGCTTTGACCATAATCCCTGTTATGAAACTGTTATTGTTGGTCGAAATAATGATTTGTAACTTCTTTCCAGCACCATTAAAATAATTGTTTTACTATGCTCCATTCCTACTAGGACGTGCTCCCTGTGAGTATTGTATGTCTTGTTGGCCGACTGGCTTTTTTCATGCTTTTGCAGATGCTTAATTTTGTGTTTTGGATTATTTCAGGGAGCTGCACGCTTATTTGGATCATTGATTTCCTCCAGCGACCTAATCAGTGTGTCTGGGGTAAGTTGTTTGATTCATCGACACTAAAGTTCCCCAATGCTAGATAGTTTGCTCTAAAATTTTGCTTTGAATGATATTAGGCTTCTCTTGATTTATTTTTAACCCATCTTTTACCCGAGGTAGTTTTTGGATAACTGCTCTAGTGCTCTGTAGAGCAAAGGAGTCTTGATTCTTGACTTGGATGCATAAGCTGCTGCAAAAGATAAGCGATGGAAATTTACTCTCAATAGACTCGTTTGTTTATTTTGATAGTTACTAGAAGATGTTCAGACTTCAGTCTGAATTCAAAATTGAAGTTGTATACCTTTTGATTCTCTGTTTGCAGCTTTTATGGATGAAAAAACTAAGAAAGTTGTCATTTAGTGTGGCATTCTTTCTTGAATTCTTGTCTTGTTTTTTAATGAAGAAAAGCAAAATGAGAATCTGAAACTACCTGCCTTCTTTTAATTGTACTATTTAATTGACTCTGGCATGCCTTGACACAAACATTGCACTGTATCAGGTTATACCTCAAGAAGTTGTGGAGGCGCTTTATGTTGCATGCAAAAGTGGTAACTTTGATTTGGCAAACAAGGAAGTCCTTAATGTAATTGCAGAAGGTTATCTAGTTTCTCAGATGATATCTCAGGTCTAATTTCTTTATTTTTCATCCATGATTAGTTGTCATTTTCAATTTCTAGATGTATTTGATACTAACATTAGGCTTCTTCCAGTTATTTAATGTGGTTGTTGAGGCAGATGATGTACCAGATGAACAGAAAGCTAGAATTTGCAAGAGTTTGGCTGAAGCAGATAAGGTTACTTTGATCACATAAACTTAGTTGTTGGTTATCTACTGCTAATTTCTTAGTTTTGGTAGTCTTAGAATAGAAATGAGATTGGCTAAGTTACTTATTGTTTTCCCCCATAAAAATCATACCTATTCTTTGGTTGATTAACATAAGCTGGCAACGAAAGCTGAGATATAACAGGGATCTAGACTGTTAAAATTTGTCTGCATTGGTGTATGTGCAGTCTTGAAGGAAATCCCGTTGACCTATGTCATTCTTTATATTGAAGTTATTGGAAATTGACCTATTAAACATGACCAACAGCATATTAACTGGTACATGTGAAGTTGGCCTTTCAATTATTTTCTACCGACCTGCTCCATTGTTTCTTTACATCATCCAAGACTGGGAAACTTTTCCCCTGCTGGCGGGTTTATCAGTGGAAACTGAATTTGTATGAATCAGTTCATGGGTGTAATTCTTATATCTGGTCATTGGTGTGCAGCGTCTGGTTGATGGCGCGGATGAGTACTTGCAGCTGCTGGATGTGGCCAGCAACACAATGCGTGCTTTGCATAACATGCCGCAAGAATTCTCTTTTGAAACTTAGCCAGAAAGCCCAGTGTAGGATGCCAGATGCTTTTGAAGATAAGGACTGTAAAATGGCACATATTGCAACAAAAATGCTTTTCAAAGTTTGTATTATGCCTGATAGAGTCATTGATGGGGACCATCTTTTTGAATCTCTTTGTCGTTTAACGTGGGGGGATTTTTATGTTGAATCTCTTTTGATCTGATCTGTAATCTAATGCTGAACAGGAGGCACTCCTGTTTGCATGCTGCATCATATCAAAACAACAAAGCTTATTGGATTTAGTTTTAGAAAAAAAATCATGAAGGTGACCGGGACTTTCTTTGAGTTTAATATTCATCACTTAAAGGGGCTTTCTTTGTTATCAATTTGTCGGTATCATAATGGTTAGATTTGTCGACTAAATAACTTGAAATTTTTTAATTCGACTCGATCGGGTGTTCACCCTACTCTTTGGATGCAAAGATTGCTCCCTTCCGATATAGTTTTTAGATTCTTTTGTCATTCTATATGATTGTGTGCTATGCTAGATATATGACGAATTGATATTTGGTTGACCATTGGATTCAACAGAGCTCCAACCATCGTCTGGTGTGGTTGTCATGTTGTGTGTGCCGGTCCAAGAGGATCGCTCTAAGCGTCGACATAAAGCAACATTATCTATTGGAGGGTCATTTAAAATAGGATAAACTATACATTTAATAATTAAGTTATCAGTTTTAGCTTGTTTAGTACTTAAACTTTTAATTATTTTTAAAATCATACTTAATGTTTAGTTTTTGTTTCATTTTAGTACTCACTGTTAAAAACTTAGCGCATTTAGTACTTAAATTATCAATTTTGGTCTATTTAGTATCTTTAACTTTAATTTTTTTCCAAAAGTTAACGTTAACTTTTGAATGGGGTACTAAAATGAAATAAAAATTAAACTTTAGGTATAATTTGATCACATAGGGTAGTCGGAAAAAATATTTTCCCATGTAAGGTATCCATCGTATTATTACCATGTGTCTTCAACTTTGTAAAGTAACAAAAATGGTTAGTGAAGTGAAAGACATGCATCAATCTTAGAGTTTTCTCCAAATTTTATAGAACACAATGTGTCTTCTAAATTTATTGTGGAAAATAATTGATAGAGTGGACTATTTGGGGAGTTTTTTTTTTTCAAACACAATATTACAACTATTTCCAGTTAGGAGACATGAGACAGTAAGTAAAAGTGATTATAATTTAGGCTTAATACCAAAATAATGTCCAAACTATACCAAAATTCTCGAATAGGTGCCTAAATTATTTTTTGACCCATCCAGGTGCATAACGTTACAAACATTACTATTTTAGGTTCTCGGGCCATCAATGATGTTAATTTCTCCGTTAAGTGACACGTGTCACAATCTGGTATTTTAAAAAATTCATTTAAAATTAAAAAAAATTAAAATTATATATATATATATATATATTTTAAAGAAAAATATAAACATTTTGAAATAACCCTAAAACTTTGAAAACCTTCATTTCAACCCCTAAACCCACATCGATCGTCGCCCTTTGCCATCGACGAAGCTCCACCTGACCTCATCTCCCCCTGACGACCAAAACCCCCATGAAATCGTGACCGATTGACGACAAATCTACATTTTATACCCCCGTGAATCCTAGGGTGAAAATCGTGATCCCACGCTATCTCTACGACCAGTCGACGACAACTACGACGGTGTATGACTACGAGGATGGTAGGGACTACGTCGGTAGCGGTGGTCGTGGCCAGAAAGGGCGACGACGACATGTTAAGGATAGGATTTGGAGATTTTAAGTATTTTGGGTTTTTTATAATTTAAGAGAAATTAGGGTTTTTTTTATAAATATAATACTATTTAAAAAAATTCAAAACTATCAGATTGTGATACATGTCACTTAACAAGAGAAATTAACGTCGTTGACGGCCCATGCACCTAAAACGGTTAAAACGGTAACATTTGTAACGTTAGGCACTTGAATGGGTCAAAAAAATAGTTTAGGCACCTATTTGAGAATTTAGGTACAATTTGGATACTTATTTTGACATTAAGCCTATAATTTTAAATAGAAGCATGCTGAAATAAAGTTCAATTCACTAGATGACCATCAATTTTTAATGCAAAGGGATGAGTTTGAAATATATGAATAATTGAGTGACCATTTGATAACTTTTAATAGTAAAAAAACTCAATAAATAGTGTCCTATAATCATAAGATCATTTTATAATTTTTGATAATCTAGAGTGTAACGCCCGAAATCCCGGGTTAGAGTTTGGGTTACCCCAAGATCCATGAGTTGAGCCCAAAGCTGAAAACCCCCTATTTTATACTTGTTTACTTGAACCACTCCCCCTTTTTAACTCACCAAACACTCTTCTCTTCTTCTCATATTTCTTCTCTTCTCATTTCCCCTTCAAGTGTTGATTTCAGGATTACTTGGATTTAGTTAAGGTAATCATGATAATCTTCAACCAAAGAGCTTCAATTCAAGCTTTAGCTCTCAAGTTTTACCTTTAGTTTCTAAAAATGGGTTATGACGGGTTTAAGAGAATCTATGGATTCTAGTTTGTTTTGATAGATTTAAGTTATAGGACAAGTTCTAAACTCAATCCAAACTTCTAAATAAGTTAGTAATTCATTTTCATACCTTTGATTAGTGAAAGAAGTGGAAGAGAGCTCTAGAGCAAGAGGAAAAGAGAAGTTGACTCTTCGGTGATTTGAGGGCTTTCATTAGCCAAGAATTCAAGGTAACATATTTACAACTTTTTCATTCTATTTGGGATCCACTAGAATTGCATTGTAGCTTGAGATTTAGTTTGAAGCACGTTGAGTGGATTTCATGGTAACTTTTAAGCTTTAGTGTTATATCATGTTTCAAAGCCTTATTTATGACCTCTTAATATCACACAAAACTCTAATAATGGTTGGGAACCTCAAGAGGGCACTTTGGGTGGTTTAAATAGTCATTTTTGTGCCTAAGTAAGGCATGTCTGGCAGGAGTATCGGTACTGGAAGAACAATACATATATTGTTCTTCAGATGTTAAAATATAAAGGGTTTTGTGAGGTAGAAGTATCGATACTCAAAGAATGAGTATCGATACTGTAGGTAAGGTATCGTACTCGCAGGGTGGTATTGATACTAGGATAACTTAGCAGATTCCAGTAGCCATTTTTGGTACTGATACTCTCAGCAGGGTATCGATACCAAAACATTATTCCAAACATCGAACCCAATTTTAGCATCGATACCTCAGATGGTATCGATACCATAGTTCATGAGTATCGATACTGGTCCAGCAGTATCAATACCAATCACTTATTTTTAACTTGCTTTATCCTTAAGGTATCGATACCGTCATTCATTTTTAGGCAAGAAACCTAAAAGTTTTTAAAAGTCAAGTGAGGTTCCCAAAGGCTCTAATTACTCTCAAATAAGACTTCAAGTGGTAACAATAATATTTCTTAATCACTTTAGAAATGAGATAAATTAAGGTGACATAAAACTAGCCTTGTTTGAATACTTGAGAAACGATCAGGACACCCAGGTTACTTTAGAAATGATACTAGTATCGAGCAATAGAATTAGTCTGGATATCCTTAGGTAGTGCTCGAGGCACTTTAAACTGACTAACTACGGCTGATGCCCGACACTCGCGAAGGGTGGGTTAGTCAAGGGTGTTGTGTCCGATGTAGAGATTCTAGACCTCATCCTTAGTAGACTAGAGGGGTGCATGAGCTCTGAGATGCAGAACCCTCAGCCGCACCATGATGTCTACCATAGAGTAAAGAGTGCAGTAGACGAGTATACTCACTGGTGTTTTAGATTGGATAGCTTGAACATTCTACATCTAGTATGATCTAGTTGTTAGTGTGGCACTGGGTTAGTTAGTTCAGGATTTGGAATTTGTTTCCTTATGCAGGTCAGTAAAGGAGAAGTGAGGAGCTTTTTGAGCAGTGGGGATCCAGACCGAGTGCAGCAAAGTACGTCTCGAGTTCTCCGTTACAGGGCATGTATATTTATAAACCTATTTTTTTGTATATATTTGAGTTGTAACATGTTTTAAACATTGATTTGTATATTTTGAAATATTCATTTGGGAGCTCCTATTGAAATGTATTTATAAAATGGTGGTTGATTCTATATAGCATGAGTATTTTAAATTAGTTATTTTGAAGCAAGAAATTAAAGAAAGTTTTTGGTTAGTCATTCCGGTGATTCCGTGTGACATCCTGATCGGTCGACTGTGTATCGTACTAGTTTAGGGTGTTACAGAGAGACTCAACAAAATAATATTATAGTCAATGGACTATTTGTGTACTTTAACCTTAAATTTGCTATAAAGTTGCTAATACATTAAACTCTTTAATAATAAAAGGGCGCTTCCAATTTTAATGGAAATTTTGCTTAAGTATGGTGATGAAAAAATAAAATTCAGTATAAGAAGTGGTACAAACTTTTTCCTTTGAATAGGATAATCTCTACATTATATTCAAAAAATACTAGAATCATCCGACGTCTTCAATTGAAGATGAATGAAAAATTCGATATCTTCCTCAAATAAAAAAAGAAAGACACCAAGTGTTTTTGCATTTTCATTGCTGATATGCTCCCCTAGGGCACTAGAGTAGGCCTAACCCCTCCTTCAACTTGATGAATCCGACTCATCACGTCATACATAATCATAACCAATAAAATTCATCAATTTCAAATTAATTTTCAAATAACTATCTGCTTCTTATTTACATGCAGGAAAAATGTAAAATTCATCTTTAAAAAAATAAGATGAATTGATTTTATTGATTGAGACCATGAATGACGTGGTGAGTCAAATCTATATTTATTTATAAAAAATGAAAACACAAAAATATTCTGCTTTATATATTAGATTTGTTTATTTGATCATCTCGTAGAAAATAATTAAATATTTAGCTGATGTTTTATTTATATTATTAAATTTTAGATGATGTGTGATTTATATTATTGAATTTTACTTTTTTTTAATTACAATATTAAATTTTTATGTTAATTCATTTTTCTTCTTATAAGAATATTTTGTGTGTGTAAATGGATGATTCCCTTTGATCAATCACTTACACAAAATTATTTGATAAATCATCACTTGTATTTTCATATGGAAACTCTCTCAAAAGTATGGTTCTCTTTCTCTATGTATAAGTGGCTGATCAAAGGAAGAAAATTATATGACGACCCTTCAACCAATGTCAAATTTTTCTTAACATTTTTCAGTTGCAAACCTTCTTTATAACATTTATGGTTAAAAAGTTAACATTTTAGATT